GAGGAGGAGGAGGAGGAGGAGGAGTGGTACGGGGAGGAGGGAGAGTGAACGATGGGGAGTTGAGGAGGAGGAAGATGGAGAGTGATGAGATGAGGAGAGTGGATACGCTGAAGGCTGCGAGCAGGCGAAGCAGCTTGCGCATGAGATCAGGAAGCAAAGGCGGGAGGATCTGAAAGGGTTCACGGATGGGGTCAGGAAGGAGAAGGAGGAGCTGCTCAAGCTCTACATCCTCTTCTTCGTTGCGATGCTCGCAACTCTTGTTCGTCTCTTCTTTACTGATAGCTAGTAAATCCTCAGGTTCCTCCTCATCCCTTCCTAACCTCCCCCAATCCCCTCCTGCTCCTGCTCCTGCTCCTGCTCCTGCTCCTGCTCCTGCTCCTGCTCCTGCTCCTGCTCCTGCTCCTGCTCCTGCTCCTGGCTCCTGGCTCCTGGCTCCTGCTCCTGCTGCTCCTGCTGCTCCTCCGTTTTCCTTCCTCCTCCCCTCATCCCACCCCGACTCGTCTCTTCCCCTCATCAAGTGCTCTTCCTCTCTCCTCATCCTGCTGCTCACATGAGCGAGTCCTTGAGGACGATCAGCGCCTTCACTTGCATCTCCTGCGCCTTCGCCACCCGTTGCAGCATGATCCTGAGGTGAGAGTGAGAGGAGACGCGGGGGAGAGGAGGAGGAGAGAAGAGACGAGAGAGGCAGGGGGCAGAGGCAGAGGAAGAGGCAGGGGTAGTAAGAGTTTGTGGAATGCTATGCGAGGAAGGGGACGGCAGCAAAGAGCAGATGAGGTAGCTCAACGGTACAATGAGGGTCATGCAAGGTAGAAGATCGGCGGGGAGAAAGGAGGAGGGAGAAGGGAGGAGGGAGGTGGGAGGAGGGAGGAGGGAGGAGAGGGGGGGGAGAAAGGGAAGAAATGGAGGAGGAGGGAGGAGGGAGGAGGGAGGACAAGGAGGAAGGAAGGGGGGTTCGGGGAAAGGGACGAGGGAGGAAGAGAGGGAGGTGAGGGCGTACTTCTCCTGCTCCTGCAGTTCGAGAATGAGTCGATTCATTCTGCTCCTTTCCTGCTCCTCCTGGATCAGCTTGTCCTGGTACACCAAGTCCGCCATGTTGTGCTTCTGCGCGATTGCTTTCCTCCTCTCGTACTGGCCCTTCCCCGATGACATCTCCGCCACTGACATCTTCAACTTCTTCTTGTCCTCCAGGACCCGCCGAGCGATCTCCTCCCTCTCCCTCTCGTTCTCCTGCTCCACTCTCAGCCTGACGAGACCAGCAGTACCTCTCCTCACCTTCTTCTCCTGCCTGACCTTGCTCGCCAGCTCCTGCCTGCTCATCACCAGCGAGTCCCGCAGGTTTCGGATGCTCATCTGACGCTCTTTCTTCTCGTTCGCCTTCGCCTCGATCTCCAGCTGCAGTTGCTTCCTCCTCTGTGCCTTCTCTTTCTCCTTCAACCGCCTCCTCTCCTCGATCTGCGCCCGCAGCCTCCCGATCTCCTGCGCTCGCTGCTTGCTGATCTCCGCCACCTTCACCGCCCTCTGCTCCTCGAACGCAAGCTTTGCCAGTCTGCTCTTGAGCATCTTCCAGCCATTTCACACTTTCGCATCATCACGCAACTTCTCACCTTGTACGCGTCCTCCGTGTGTTGCCGGGCATGTCGCAGCTCCTTGAGCCCGGACCGGGAGCAGGTGCTGCCGCTGGCAGAGACGAGGGAAGCGCGAGAGATGTTGTTAGGGAAGTCAAAGTGCATCGAGTTGGAGAGGGTAGAGGCAGAGGAGTAGGCGTTGGTAGACCGAGGCCTGAAACTCCTCCTTGATCGCGACTCTCGCATGCTCTGCCCGTCACCATCCGAAGAGAAAGTCTCGATCTCTTTCGTCTCTCCTCCCTCAATCTGCTCCCCTTGCGCCTCCTCCCCTGCCGACCCGTCTTCACCACTCATTGCGACAAGCTCCTCCTCTATCGCCCTTGTTGCTCTCTCTGCATCATTCGCTGACTTGTTGGTCCACACTTGATCTCGAATATTCAGCGAAGACTAGGAGAGGACTGCAGCTGCTTCAGCAGATTCAAATCTGTTCAGACAAGAAGATGAACATGAGATACGGCACAAACTTCACTCGATTCAACCCATTCCTGTCTCGGTTTCCTATCCTGTAATATCTACTTTTCACCAATCCACAACAAGCCACATTCATTCAACCTCTTCATTTCTTTCCATTCCTCATTCCGTGCCTTCCCTCTGTCCTCTGTCCTTGTTGTTACCACTCGTAGCCTCTCCTCACGTCCCCTCCCCTCCCCTCCCCTCCCTTTCTCCGCTCTTCTCTTCTCGTCTTTTGTCTGAGCCTTTCTTCTGTTCATCTCAGCTCTCCTGTCATCCTCCTGCCTCCTCTTCCTCTCTCCTCTCCTCTCCTTTTTCACTCCTGCCTCCCCGCATCATCTGCATCAACGGAAGGTGTAACAGTTGGTCTTTGACTCGACGGTTATCAGTCCTTTTACTTCTAAATTCCTTGTGCCGTTACACCGAGGGTCCGGGACCCGGGGCGGGCCCGGGGCCGCTCAGCTCAGCAACGGCGGCGTCGGACGGTCGGCCAGCTGAGCCTGATCGGATCAGTGAGTGGCGGGCCGCAGGCGCGGCAGCGGCACGGTACCGCCGGATCATCATTACTGAGTCCTACCAGCCCCGCGAACGGTTTCGGATTTTACCGTACCGACGCCGACGGTACGTACGGTCACGCGTCTGAGTACGGTACCGGGCCCCGCCGGGACTCCGACGGTCCGACCCGGCGTTCGGCCCGCCCGGCAAGTTCGCCGACGGCATGACGCCCAGTGCCACCCCAGCGGGGGCCGGCGGGGCCGGGGCCGCCCTGACTCCGGGACTCCGGGAGGCAAGTTACCTTCGGACTCCCGGACTACTTGATGTCAGTCACGGTCGTCTTTACTCAAAGTTAAGTTAAAAATCAGTACCAGGACAATCAGGAGAGACGAGGCCCGGAGCCTCGGAGGTTTGACCGTGGCTGTGACGCTACTGTCGCACAGGCCAAACGGCGAGAAGAGAAAGACAGCGAGAACCAAACCCAATCCTGCCGACTGCTGTCCCCCAAACTTAACTGATACCTTCACGAGTCACTGTCGTCAGTCGCTCGGAGCCTCGGCCACCGGGCCCGGCGGCGGCGGACTCGGCCCGGAGCCGCGCGCCACTGGTGACCGCCGGCGCTCAGACAAGAGTCAGGCTCGGCATCCGAACCATTGATTCAAGTCTTGGCAGCCATGAATCATCGATGACTCGCTGCCATGCCGCTCTCAGGTGCCTCATGGTAGTTTGGCTCTCCGCGCACTGAGAACTGACTCTCCGTTTGAAGCCCAAGTACTCCAACATGGCATCAGGTAGACAGAGAGACTCGAAAAGACTGACACAATACTTGGAGAACCAATACAAGACCATGAAAACACCAACACAAGACTATGAAAACACCAATACAAGACTATGAAAACACCAATACAAGACTATGAAAACACCAATACAACTATGAAAACACCAATACAACTATGAAAACACCAACACAGACACCCCCGGCTTACTGAGAGAGAGGGAGAAAGGAAGCCTCGGAGAGACAGTGAGACGGGGAGACGGATAGAAGGAGAGACGGAGACAGCCTGGTGTGAGAGAAGGGAGAGCGACAAGGACGGAGGAACGGAGGAACGGAAGGACGGAAAGCGAGGGAGAGCATGTGATATCTGGCAGAGCATTCAAGCAGTCCATCACACTTCATGTCAGTTGCTGACGCCTTGGGGGCCAGTGAGGTGACGCGGGTCTCGACAGGTCAAGATATGCTCAGCCACACGTTTACAACAAGATAGTAGACTTGCATCTTCGTGTATTCTCACTACCACTCTCATCCCTATTTACAAAAACAAAGCAGATGTGTTACAAAGTATAGTGTCACGCTCCCTCTAAGCTTCCTCGCTTGTTTGTTTCAAGCTTGCGGCATGCTCGCTCGAGCTCGATCGCGAGCCTGCGCCTTGACCCTCGCTCGCATCACGCTGTGCAGGCACTCGCTCCCATCGGACACAACCACGACTCTCAAGCTCGGATTGGAGGAGGCAGGGCAGAGGTTGGGCGCTTCCTGGGGGTCTGGTCTGGTCGCGGGAGGGGCGTGGAGTCGGAGGGTGTGTCGCTGTAGGGGGGTGAGGCGGAGAACGGGGGTTGGCTTGCGTCGCTCGAACTGGAAGCTGATCTCGCGGATCATCATGAATGTCTCAGCGCGTGAAGAGAGGCGGGCGGGAGGGAGGGAGGGAGGGAAGGGAAGGGGAAGGGAAGGGAAGGGAAGGGAAAGGGAGGGAGGGAGGGAGGGAAGGTGTTGATGTAGGAGGGAGGGAAGGAAGGCGGTGAGGAGGGAGGGAGGGAGGGAGGGAAGGCCTTTATGTGGGAGGGAGGGAAGGAAGGAGTTGACGTGGGAGGGAGGGTGGAAGGGAGGAAGGGAGGGAAGGTGTTGACGTAGGAGGAAGGGAGGGAGGGAAGGTGTTGACGTGGGAGGAAGGGAGAGAGGGAAGGTGTTGACGTGGGAGGAAGGGAGAGAGGGAAGGTGTTGACGTGGGAGGGAGGAAAGTTTAGGGTACCGGGGCAAGATAGAAGGGTCGCAGAGCCCAATGGATATGGTTTCCTTCAAGGCTTCAAGAAGGTGTAAGACCCCCCCACTAGGTCTGACATTTCTCGAGTCTGTCTCAATGGAAACAGACGAGGGCTTCACCTTGCCGGGCGATCTTCGAGCAGCTGTCACGCTTTCAGCTAGAATACTTTTAGAAATGTGTCCCAAGGGAGCTCATGGAGGGCTTACAAGCTCCTGTGACAGCGTGACAGCCGGAGGCTGACGTGATCATCCCGATCTGTGAGTAAAGTATGTCTACCCGGTTCCCCAGTCTCGTCGCCGCCCCGTCCGATCGGGCACACCGGCCGTACGATGGCAGTGGCTCTTCAAGTTACTAAGTGACTCGGCCCGGACTCGTTGGCGCCGGGGCCGGGCCGGGCACTCAGTGATTGCAGGCCGGGCGGACCATACGGTAAGGCCGCTCTCAAAGGCTCCGCGCCGCGGCAGGACTCCCGTTGTTGTGAATTCAAGGCTCGTATAGTAGCGTTGGGATATCGTCAAGTAGAAGTGATACCAACAAGCCGCATCAGTGGGACAAGGCCATGCTAGTGAAGGCTGAACTTGAAGACTCAGATAAATCAACTTTCAAGTATCATAGTATTTACAAGCAATCCTCATTGAGAAGGATCTAAAGATAGAAGATTAAAGAGGAAGAGGATAAGATCGAGCAAGTAAAACAGAAGATTGAGAAACAGGTCAATCCCGAGAGACTCGCGGCAGTGAAGACGAGAAAGAGGAGGATATGATCACCAATGACAGACGTGAGCCTGGTTTCTTTGATGATCGCAATCCGACAAGTTGAGTAATGCTAGACGAGCGTGCCATACGATGTGAGGAGAGAAAAGGCCCTTCTAGCTCAAGAGGCTGATCGTCATACAGGCTGAGGGATGGACGTGTGCTCGTGCTCCTTGTTGCATGAGCAGACTCGCCTCATGCTTGCACTTTCGCTTTCACAAGCTTCTGCTCCTGCACAGATCGAGCAGGGGGGATATGAACAGAGGGTCAGCAGCTCAGAAGTCTCCTCGAGTGATGCAGTCAAATGTCCGTCTCATGGTCAGACAAGCTTGTTGGCACAAAAGATACGGCAACCAACCTATCCAGCAGAAGGCAGATAGTAGTAGACTTGCATCTTCGTGTATTCTCACTACCACTCTCATCCCTATTTACAAAAACAAAGCAGATGTGTTACAAAGTATAGTGTCACGCTCCCTAAGCTTCCTCGCTTGTTTGTTTCAAGCTTGCGGCATGCTCGCTCGAGCTCGATCGCGAGCCTGCGCCTTGACTCTCGCTCGCATCACGCTGTGCAGGCACTCGCTCCCATCGGACACAACCACGACTCTCACGCTCGGATTGGAGGAGGCAGGGCAGAGGTTGGGCGCTTCCTGGGGGTCTGGTCTGGTCGCGGGAGGGCGTGGAGTCGGAGGGTGTGTCGCTGTAGGGGGTGAGGCGGAGAACGGGGGTTGGCTTGCGTCGCTCGAACTGGAAGCTGATCTCGCGGATCATCATGAATGTCTCAGCGCGTGGAGAGAGGCGGGAAGAAGGGAGGGAGGGAGGGAGGGAGGGAAGGGAGGGGAGGAAGCGAAGGGAAGGGAGGGAGGGAGGGAGGGAGGGAGGGTGTTGATGTAGGAAGGAGGGAAGGAAGGCGGTGAGGTGGGAGGGAGGGAGCGAAGGGAAGGGATGGAAGGCCTTTACGTAGGAGGAAGGGATGGAAGGTGTTGACGTAGGAGGGAGGGAGGGAAGGTGTTGACGTAGGAGGGAGGGAGGGAAGGTGTTGACGGGAACGGAGGGGAGGGAGGGAGGGGCGTCGTGGGTTTGGTGGCAAGCTCTGCAATGTTCCGAGAGTTCGAAGGCTTCCACGGGATGACAGGATGCACCGTGTGCTGTAAAGGCCGCAAGAAGTTGTACCAGGCCCCCCACTAGTTTAGACTTCTCTCGAGTCTGTCTCAATGGAAACAGACTAGGCCCTCACCTTAGCGGTTTGCACAAAGTGCCGCTGAGGAAGGGCTGTAAGGCTTCTCAGCCTATCACGAGGACTAGCACTGAAAAGATTCCTTTTCGAAGATCTGTCATGAGCCTGCTAAAACTGCTTTTAGTGCTAAGTTCAGCTTTAAACGGGGAATTTCCTTCCATCCATATCCGCGGCAGCTCGCGGGTCACGGCACGGCGACTAGACGGATCCGAGGACCCCTTCCCAAGGAGTCGCTAGTCGCCCGAGTTCTTACTAGTTACTAGGCCGCTCAGATAGTCACATGGTCAAGCTCGGCACGGACTCCATGACAGTGGTCGGACGGCGCCGCCCGGCCGGCGACATTCACTTATAATTCAGACTGGCAGCGCGGCAGGGCCGTGAGTTCCCGGCCGGCCGACACTGGCCAGGTCCGGCGACCCACTGGCAAGGCCGCCGAGCCCCGGGCCGGAGCCCGGCGGGCCGCCGGCCGACTCCGGCCCCGGGCCGGCATCATATCCCGGAGTCCGAAGCCCGATCCGATCCCGGCGGGACGGCGGCGAGCCGCCTCGGAATCCGGCACGACCCTAAAAAGCACTTATAAGTTACCGGGGGCGGGCTCGGGTTCAGCGATGAGCGATGAGCGATGAGCTATGAGCGATGGCGGTGGCTGACTCGTCCTCACATGATGACTCGTCCTCACATGATGACTCGTCCTCACATGATGGGAAAGCTCCTCTGCTCCTTGACCCTGCTTGCCGTCATTGCCGTGGGGCGATCGGAGCAAGGGGGAGTTGCAACAGTTTCATCTCATTCTTTACATGAAGATTCTCGTTCAGACGAGCAAACATGTCCTTACCACAACACAACAAGAGCGGAAGATGCATGTCTGCTTTGGAGGTTCCTTGCGGCTGCTGCTGACCTTGCCGATCAAGATTAACGTACACACCAGGGAGAGCGTCGACTCCATTCCCTACGATACTCCATGGACAAGAGAACATGCCGAAGTTCTCAAGGACAGGTGGGATTTCATCATCACCACCACCACCATCATCATCACCATCATCATCATCACCACCACCACCACCACCACCACCACCATCACCACCGTCACCACCACCGCCATCCTTCTCCTCCTCCTCCTCCTCCTCCTCCTCCTCCTCTCCTTCTTCTTCTTTTCTGATGATGACGATGCTTGCTGCTGCTTGGTTCTTGGTTCTGCTGCTCCTGTCCTCCAACTTGCTGCGTTTCTACCTTGCAGGTTACTTACGTCATTTACTCAGCATCATGAGGCATTGTGAAACCCATGGACTGTAAGTTTATCTTGCGCCATGACTCGCAACTCACGCATCTTCTCCTTCTCCTTCATGTCAGCCGTCCATGGCGCCCGTAGGCTCTTGTACGTCCCGCCCTCCTCCTCTGACGCCTAAGTGCAGGTGCTGCCCAAGTCACGAGTGGACCTGTCGAGAGTTCACGACGACGAGGAGCACGTGAGGGGTACTTGCGCGGGCAAGAGCAGGGGTGGTGATGTGGCCTGGCAGGTTGCATGCAGGAATTTTGCATGCGGTAGAACGGGGGACGGCAAGTCGGGAGGAGAGGAAGGAGAGCGAGTGTGCTGCCGGACCCTCTCGTGTCGATCTCTCAACCCCTCGCCTCCTGATTTTCATTGTTGGAGTGCCTGGCTCGGGGAAGGTAGACTGGACAGCTGCTCTCCTGCTCCTCCTCCTGCTCCTCCTCCACCACCACCACTTGAACCCCTCCTTTCCCTCGTCCTCGTCCTCCTTCTCAACCACCGCCTGTTCCTCTTTACTAGTTCCTGCTCCTGCTCCATCGTGTACTCCCGCTCCTGACGGCGCTGTCAGACCGCTATTCTCAAGCGCATAGCTAAGAACATGATCAGGCTGCACCAGCAGGTCAGCCAGCTGAGCTGCTCCTCCCTCTGACAGGTTTGACGCAGGGAAATCAAGACCCGACGCTCGAACAAGTCCTGCAGCAGCTGGACAGGAACTGGAGGAAGGGCCCGTGCGGGCGCTGACAGGCTGCCGTCAGGCCTGGGCATGGCGGGGGCTGCGACGAGACGCACGTGCACGTGTCGGCGGACGAGATGAAGACAATGCTGTCCTCGGAGAGCGTATGGAGTCCGACGACAAGAGGACACGTCATCAACGACGACGACATGACCAGAAGGTAGCCCAGCTTCCTCCCTGCTGCCCCGTCCCACTCCACGGCTGTAGGGCCAACGAGTTGCGGGACGACAAGAGCGAGCAAGACGTTCTGGTGCACTCCCAGTACCTCCACCGGTCTGAGTCTCTTCCCCTGCTTTCTTTCCTTCCTTCCTTCCTTCCTTGCTTCTTTGCTTCCTGCCTGCCTGCCTGCCTGCCTGCCTGCCTGCCTGCCTGCCTGCCTGCCTGCCTGCCTGCCTGCCTGCCTCTCTTCTCCGTACTGTCCTCGTACTCTCCTCCCTTTTTGTGGCGTTCACTCCTGGTACTCAGCGAGTCAATCTTTCTGGCGGACGAGATGTTCCTGGTGAAGTTGCAGAGCAGCCTTCCCCTCCTCACACTCCCTTCACCAGCTCGGGGTCAGGCGCAGGAGGCACATGGTAATGGAGAAGACGATGACAAGCTTCCAGCAGGTGTTCAGCTGCCCACGTTGCGAAGCTGCCGCTGACGTTGGCTGCAGGTTGACAAGTACATTGACATTGTCAACAACTGCTCTGCTGGGTCCCCTGCTGGGCCCTGTGAAGCCTCCCCGAACTTCAAAGTCGTCATCCTGGCAGCAGAGGCCGAGCTGGACGCATGTTTGCGGGTTGTGCCTGCTGGTTCGTTGGCCGACCAGATGTGAAACTCGTGGCAGGCCAACGACCAGAGGCGTCAAAGTGGACACGTGCTGACTCGCCGCCAGGTGCGTCCACCTCCCCCCCTCCTCGTTCCCCCTCCCACCCCCACCTTGCTGAGCTGCGAAATGTGGCTCTAGATCCAAACGCAGCACCAGCGTTTCCGCCGCACTGTCGAGCAGCTGCTGGGCAGATCTCGACAGGTTGACGAGCTGAGAAGTGATAGCAGCACGTGACGTCTCACGTGACAGGGCAGCAAGGAGGGGCCGTCAACCCTGACCCTGTGGGTCTTCGACACGACACCCGTGCTCGAGAGCCTAATGTCGCCAGCTGCCTCCTCTGCGCCTCTCGACTGACCAGCTCACAGGAGGAAGGAGGGTCTGCTGGAGGCCAGCAAGAGGATTCGGCTCAAGTCAAAGTCAGTCATCAGCGTATAAGCCGATCTCCCCTACCAGCACGTCCTACTTCTCCCTCTCCACCACTTCCTCCCCCCCTTCCACTCCCTCCCTCCGTTTCCCTGCGGTTCCGGCTGCAACTACTTCTCCCTCCCTCCCTGCTCCTGCTCCTGCTCCTGCTCCTGCTCCTGCTCCCCTCCCTCTCTTCCTCTTCTCTCCCTCCAGCTGTCGTTCTCTTGTTTATTTCTTCAAATGAAGGGCAAGAAGTCAAAGATCATCTCGAGCCCGTACAAGGCCACCACTCCTGCACCCACGTTCTCAGCTCGACCGCAGCTGGGCCTCGTCCTCTCCTCTCACCTCCTACAGCGACGTACTTCCACATGCCGTTACCCCCTGCCATCAGGTCAGACTAGCTCGATGATCAACACTCCCAGCATGCCTCCTCCTCCTGCCGCCTGCCCAGCGCTCTCGGACCCAGCTGCTGCTCCTGCTGCTCCTCCTTGGGGCCTTGCTTTGGCTGCCCTATCGTCAGGACGAGGAGATCAAGGAGCTGCAGGCTCACTGGGAGGAGGGGAAGGAGCGGCACGAACATTCTCACGAGCAACGAAGAAGCTGTCCGGATCGTTGACGTTCTGCCGCTTGCGTGAGGAAGGCTGAAGGGAGCAAGAGGAGACGAACAACAACACAAGGAGAGGGGGGGAAGGGCAGGGAAGAGAAGAGGGGCAAGAAGAAGAGAAGGTGAGGGAGAGAGAGGGAGAGGGAGAGGGAGAGGGAGAGGGAGAGGGAGAGGGAGAGGGAGAGGGAGAGGGAGAGGGAGAGGGAGAGGGGCAGGTCACCTGCACAGCAACGATGCTTGGCAGCATCTGCTGGAGACTTTCAAGAGCATCGCTGGGACTGTCGCCGGGCATGACATGCGCGAAGAACTTGATGACGCCGTTCTGAGGGCCCGTCAACTGCTCCTGCTTCACCTGCCCCTCCTGCTCCTGCTCCTGCTCCTGCTCCTGCTCCTCTCTGCTGCTGCTGCTGCTGCTGCTTCCTGCTCCTGCTCCTCGTGCTCATGCTCGTGTTCCTGCTCGTGCTCTTACTGATCCTCCTGCCCCTGCTCCTGCTCCTGCTCCTTTCTCCTGCTCTTGCTCATGCTCCTGCTTCTGCCGCGCCTCGTCCTCCTCGTCCATCCCTATCGCCACTACCACTTTCTCCTCCTTCACTTCCTCGCTGCCTGTTTTCTTCCACTTCGCAGTCTCCATGTCGGACTCACCAGCGGGAAGCAGAGGCGGCTGGGGAGGATCCAGGAGGAAGCCTTCCCCTTGCTCACGGCCTCCTCAAGCACGCTCTTGCTCCCCTGCTGCAGCTCAGAGCTGGACTCGAGCTGGGAAGCTCCTGACCTTCTCCGACGCCTGCAGCTCCCATTCCTCCAGGAGCATCGAGACCCTGCTGGCAGTCAGCTGGAGACTGCAACGAAGCGGCGCAAACCTGTGCGAGATGGTGGCGACGAGGTCCTGCTTGATGGCCTGACGTCCAGCAGTCAAGGGGAGGGTGAGCGAGTGGAGGAGAGAGGTGTTAGTGGAGGATAGAGGAGGGGAGGATAAGAAGAGGAAGAGAGATTTGAAAGAGGAAAGGAAAAGAGGAGGAGGAGAGACGAGGAAAAGAACGGGGAGGAGTGGGGGGGAGGAGAGGGAGAGGAGGGTCGGGTGAGGAGGGAGAAGGCAGAGCGGAGCAGCAACACAACAAGAGCTGTTGGTTACCCGCTCAGCCATTATCGAGCTTTCCGATCCCATCACAATCCCGTAACTCATGATCTCCCCAGAGATATGAAGGGCCTCCTCCCCCCCCCCCTCCTCCTCCTCCTCTCCGACCCCGACTGGGAGTCCAGAGTGCAGACCGGAGCCAGCAGGAGAGAACAGTCTTAGCTCCAGCTCCTGCGGCTCAGCTCCGCCCTTGCTGGACTTGTCTGTTTCCTTCACGTCACCACCCAACAGCAAGGAGCTGGTTGTCCTGACCTGCTTTCCCTTGCTTCCCCTTCCCTCCCTTCCCGCCCCCGACAAGCGGCTCCGAGCTCACGAGCGTATCGTCGATGGTGGAGATGCAACTGGAGATGCAGGAAAGTTTCTCGCGAACCTGCGCTAGTAGTCAGCGCTCTCATCCTCTTCTTGCCCCCCCCCCCCCCCTCCCCTCGACCAACACCCCACCATACCGTCCTCTCTCCTCCCTTCTAGGCTTCTCTATACCCCTCAATAACATCCTCTCTCCTCCCTGGCTTCTAGGCATCTCTGTTTCTACTCATCCTCCTGATCGTCTTGCTTGGTGCCACATTTTAGCTCGTGGAGCTCCTCCTTCTTTCCTTCCCGTGCGTCTCAAGTTTCCTCCCTTCCTGTCCCATCCTCGTCCTTGTCCTCGTCCTCGTCCTCGTCCTCGTCCTCGTCCTCGCCCTCGCCCTCGCCCTCGTCCTCGCCCTCGTCCTCGCTATCATCACCTTCCCTTCCAACAGGCTGTTCAGCTTCCCGCTCTTGGTCGCCTCTTCCACCCGCGGGATGCTGACGGACATCGAGAAGTGAAAACTAAACGGAAAAGATAAGTCAGGACCTTGAACCTTCGATGCCCCTCCTATCTCCTCCTCCTCATCCCTCATCCCCACCCCCGCCAGTGTCCCTGTCCCTGTCCCGTCCTTGTTTGGTGCTTATCTCACTCCATCAAGACCCCCAACAATCTCCCTCGCCATCCTCCTCCTCTACCTGCTGTTGACTCCAACAAAGCCTGAGAAAACATCGCCCTGAAGCTGATGCGGATATGAGCAGCATGGCAGATTGAATGATTGAAGAAGGGAGAGAGTTCAGCAAGGATGCGATGGAGGAGGGCAGCACAGAGCAACGGATCAAGCAGCGAGTGAGTGAGTGAGTGAGTGAGTGAGTGAGGGAGTGAGGGAGTGAGGGAGGGAGAAGTCCAGCAGGGAGATAAGAAGAGGAGGCAGGAAGACAGCAGACAAGTACCTTGAGCTCAGCAGGATGGCTGCCTTTGGACGAATCTTTCACGTTGTACGCCTGTCGAGGATGTGAGGGATGAAAGAGACGGCAGCGGAGTCGGAGAAGACACGCAGAGACGAGAGGAGGGATGAGAAGCAGAGGATGAGGGAAGGAGAACGCATCATCAGGTAGCACTGGTCGGGTGCAGCAGGAGGGAGAGCAGCAGGGGCTTCTTGTACCTTGCAGGTGCTCTTCCTGGTCTTGGAGCACATATGGAAGAAGAGTCGCTCAGCCCCGATCTCGCTCTCCTCCTGCTCGTCCTGCCGATCTCGTTACGAAGAGACTCGAAGATCGTGAGGAAAGCAGGACAAGAAGCCATATGAGATGTAAAACAGATCATAAACTGATCCCCCCACGAACACACTGACGCAGGCATCATCATCATCATCATCACATCAACATTAATCCTTCTCTCCATCATCGTCCATGTCAAAGTCCTTCTCCTCCTCCTCCTCCTCCTCATCATCATCATCATGATCATCAACTTCAAAATAATCTCCATCATCTCCATAGTCGTCGTCGTCATGATACCAGGAAGCAGATCGTTGACTGCACTCGTGCCAGCCTCCGCAAGGTGGAGAAAGCCATGTTCGCCTTAGCGCCCACCTTTTCGAGCAGGTCAGCTGAGTCATTCATAGAGGCACGTCGGGGGGGCGCGGAGGAGGGAGGAGGGAGGAAGGAGGAGGGAGGAGGGAGGGAGGGAGGAGGGAGGGAGGGAGGGAGGGAGGGAGGGAGGAGGGAGGAGGGAGGAGGGAGGAGGGAGGAGGGAGGAGGGAGGAGGGAGGAGGGAGGAGGGAGGAGGGAGGTATGCATGTCATCCTTTGTTCAACTGATTCTCAGCATCGAACCTGATCCGTCGGGCAGAAAAAGTAGATTCCCATCACCATCAGCCCTCCCGGCAGCATCCTCTGAACTTCCCGAGCATGTTCGAACATCCAACTTTCGTCGACAGAGGACCACGTTCCCTTCTCATCTACACACGAATCATTATCGTGAGGAGGAGGCAAAGGACGCGTGGCATAGGACTGACAAGAACTATGAAGCACGAATGCATTGGACAGAGCAGAAACATGAAAGTCGCACTTACCGCCCATGTCAGGAGTGGGGATGAAGAAGAGGACCGTGTCTCTCTGAGGAGTCATTCTCCCAACAAGAATCCCTGTCCCCACCAGCTCCTTCCTCTCGAACCTCCTCCCCATCTCCTCCTCCACCGCCCCAGCCGCCGCTACCACCACCCGCATTCTGGTTTTTCGAGGTTGATGAACTTTTGGCAGTACAGTTCGTTGATCACTTAAAGAAGGCCCTGCAATAGTTCTTCCTACCTCTGTGCACGGTCCGGCGACCGGCGCCGGCGGGGCCCGGTCACCGGGTGGCACTGCCAGGCCTGAGTGCCACGCGAGTCCCGGGCCTCTTTCACTCGCCTCATCCCACATCGTGGCGGACTCGCCCTAGTATGATCATGGTCACTGGCACAACAATACTAGTCCTCCGATACTGAAATGCGCCCGGCCGCCAGTGGCCACACTGTGACATGCCAGAGTCCGGGCCGCCGACTGCCACACCGGGCAACTACTACCCCGGCCCGGCCGCCCGATTTTCAAGACTCTGAGAGTAACAGTGCCTGCCAGTAGAAGTTATCTGAAGCGGGGCCCCGCGGCCTGACCGTACTGGTGACCTTGCCCTTTTTACTCAAAGTTGCTGCCCGCGGCGCCGGTGCCGCAGTCCGGTCAGTGTCACTGAGCAGTGCCAGGCACGGCCCGGTCTCGGAACCGGATCCGATCACGGGCTTTTATGTTACTCAAAGAATCCGATTGCTCTCACCGTGGCACCTGCCGGCCAGGCGCCGGCCAGGCCCGCGGCGGGCCGGGCCATCGGTGTCACGACCGACGCGCCGCCGAGTCAGTCTTTTATCATAGTATTATAAAACTATCCTGATTGTCCTCGTACTGATTGTTTACTTATCGTTGAGTAAAAGACTCACCGACCCTCATCACTTGCCAAAAAAAATTATCAAAAAGAAGTTTTACTACACAGCCCGGTCGAAGCAGGTACAATATAAAGGAGACTTAGCTCCAGATAAAACACTAGTAGCACTTCTTGATCTCCCATCTCTGTAGTAAAATACTCCTGTAGTAAACCCCTTTGCCCTTTACTTGACTAGACCAGGCCCACTGCACCAACACGCGCACTAGCACCACCACGCGCAGCAGCAGCACCAGCATGCCTTCTCTTGTCGACCTCCTGATCAATGGCGACGCATCCTCGCACTCTCTCTTGGCAGGCAAGACCAAGGTTGGGCTCCTCCTCACTCTCCAAGTCGCCATCTCCAACCTCTACAAAGTCTTGAGCGCTGTTGTGTCATGGGACCCTTTGCGATCAGACATGTCGGAGAAGAGGCTGGGCGAATGCGCTCGGCCATCGAAACAGGTCCCTCGCAGACGCCACAGCGAGCTCATCATGAAGACGCATCCTCCAGCCTCCCCAGCTCGTAACTTACGAGCCCCCAACGATTCTGCTCGGATGACCGCAGTTGGCGAGCAGAGAAGACCGCAAGTCATGGCGAGCGGCTGCATACTGATGCAGCACTCAGCCCATCAGATGACAAGCTGCAACTGCCGTCGCTGCTTGGCTCGTATCCAATCAGAGCTCCTTGCCTCATTCGAGGAGGCTCGAGCGCAAGGACACATTGTTGTCACATCTCAGCGCCAGGAGAAGGCGGCAGGTCAAGCGCAGGGATGGAGGAGACGGGATGCTTGAGGACGAGAGTGGAGCAGAGCAGACAAACAGACAAGACTCGAAGAGATGGCGGCATGTACAGTATGAGGAAGGAGGTATGAAGGAGTCTACCAGAGGCCCTTGCGTGTAAGATAACGGATTAAACTTGCATACAACAGCGCACTATCAGAAGCTTTCCCATGCCTTGCTACCTCTCCACAGCCGAAGCTATCCTCACTCCACTGCCACACTCCGCATGCTCCTTGTTTCCCCTTGCTGCCCTTTCCCCTTGCTGCCCTCCCCCTTCTGGTTTTTGGTGCCAATGCAGGCTACTGGAGGCCGATTTTTCCTGGACTTGAGCATGTCACATGTTTTTGAAACTGTGACTATTATGGGGTTCCGGACCTGACTCGGAGCAAACTTGCTGTAAGCAGCAGCACAGAGGAAGATCCGAGGGCATGGAAATGAATATGCTCAGCACGTCCCGCCAAAGGCCTTTCTTCCCATCATCGCCAGTACTGATGATGGACTCGGAAGTTCCAGGATGATGAGTTGCGCTTTCGAAAGTTCTGTGGTGGCTGGCAGACCGCTCGGCGAACAAGGGAACGGCAGCGCTGGATGGCCTCTTAGCGGCCTTGCAAGATGTCGGAGTCAGGTGATCCGACTTGAAAACTGCCGCATCCGGTCCAGCATCTTTCGTCAGCTCAAGGCCTCCCTGTCCTTCGCTGCCATAATCGCAGGTGCGTTCCGGTACTGTATGCGTCTCATTCCTTCGGCGGCGGCCACAGCCCGACCGTACATGGCGGAGTGAGCTGGCACGCACGCCGGCGAGGGAATGGTCCTGCGCGCGGCGCAGTGAAGAGACCAGTATCAGTTTCAAGTTTGCCAGGGGCATAGCAGCAGTGGGGCGGATAAGGGTTGCTTGTCTCTTCTCTTCTCCCCGTGTTACCACTACTATCATATAAGCTCACTAGTAAACTTAACTTTGGACCCTCACAAACCGCAGGAGACTTTTGGTCTATATAAAACCTTATAACTCCTGGAGCGGAGGCTCCTGGCCATTTTTGTTTTTGATCTCCGATCTCTGTAGTAAAATACTCCTGTAGTAAACCCCTTTGCCCTTTACTTGACTAGACCAGGCCCACTGCACCAACACGCGCACTAGCACCACCACGCGCAGCAGCAGCACCAGCATGCCTTCTCTTGTCGACCTCCTGATCAATGGCGACGCATCCTCGCACTCTCTCTTGGCAGGCAAGACCAAGGTTGGGCTCCTCCTCACTCTCCAAGTCGCCATCTCCAACCTCTACAAAGTCTTGAGCGCTGTTGTGTCATGGGACCCTTTGCGATCAGACATGTCGGAGAAGAGGCTGGGCGAATGCGCTCGGCCATCGAAACAGGTCCCTCGCAGACGCCACAGCGAGCTCATCATGAAGACGCATCCTCCAGCCTCCCCAGCTCGCAGCTTACGAGCCCCCAACGATTCTGCTCGGATGACCGCAGTTGGCGAGCAGAGAAGACCGCAAGTCATGGCGAGCGGCTGCATACTGATGCAGCACTCAGCCCATCAGATGACAAGCTGCAACTGCCGTCGCTGCTTGGCTCGTATCCAATCAGAGCTCCTTGCCTCATTCGAGGAGGCTCGAGCGCAAGGACACATTGTTGTCACATCTCAGCGCCAGGAGAAGGCGGCAGGTCAAGCGCAGGGATGGAGGAGACGGGATGCTTGAGGACGAGAGTGGAGCAGAGCAATCAAACAGACAAGACTTGGAGAGATGTCGGCATGTACAGTATGAGGAAGGAGGTATGAAGGAGTCTGCTAGAGGCCCTTGCATGTAAGATAACGGATTAAACTTGCATACAACAGCGCACTATCAGAAGCTTTCCCATGCCTTGCTACCTCTCCACACCCGAAGCTATCCTCACTCCACTGCCACACTCCGCATGCTCCTTGTTTCCCCTTGAGTCCTGCTTGCTCATCGTGATTGACATTGAGCTCAGCCTGCCTTATGAGGCACACCTTGTATTCTGAGGCGGGCTTCTTGGTTGGTCCATGCAGCGTCATGCGTGTTGGGCGCTGATGCAGGGGGAGCGGAGGAGGAGGAGGGGCTGACGAGCAGGAAGGGGAGCAGCTTGTAGCGTGAGACGATCGTTGAGAGAGGAAGAGGAGGAGAGATGAAAGTGGGGGAGGAGGCCTAGGAGCCTCGAGGCACCCTTGGAAAGGAGGTGGTTTGAACGCTGTTGCGGAGGACGAGGTCACGGTAGGGCTGGAGCTCCTTGCCAGGGAGAAAGACGAGACAGAGGAGTAGAGATGACAGGATCGCATCCTGTGCATGGCCTCCATATCTCACACCAGCTCTGGTTCTTCGGCGGCCTCACGCTGGCCTTCAGTGTCAGGTGCAGACATGTTGCCTTGACCCCTCACGCTCTAAGCATTTGGCGGCAGTGAGATTGTGTTCGGCGCTCAGATGAACTCGATCACGCTGCTGAGCGATGGGTTCCACAACCTCGCGGATGCTGGAACCTACGGGATAGCCATCATCACCAACCGAGCCCAGCTCGCAGGGGGCGCGGAGAGCCACAGGATCGGGGTGCTGGGGGGGATGGTGACATGCACGACGACGCTCGTGCTGACGTTCTTTGCGGGGATGGAGGCGTTTCAAAGACTGTTCGTCTCCCCACACACCAAGGAGATTGCTCACATCGGCACCGCATACTTCGTGGTCGCCGTCCTCGGCATCGTCCTCAACGCCGCGGCAATGTTCAGCCTTGGAGGGCACGGACACTCGCACGGAGGTCTTCCTTGCCATTCAGATCAGTTACCCAGTGTGGAGGATGAACTGACGGTTGACGATTCTTGCGATGCAGCGCATGGCGGATGCCATGGCCATGGACACGGACACGGACACGGGCACGGCCATGGACATGCGCACGCGAAGAAGGAGTGCTGTGAAGAAGAAGGCTTGTACCAAGGAGGATCAACGAGCTCCTCTCGCCTGCAGGTCATGCATGTCTCCAGGAGGAGGAGGAGGACGAGAGAGGAGAGGAGGGAGAGGAGGACGATGAGGAGATCGCTGAGAGCCATGGCAGCCCAGCCCAAGTTTCCAAGAGGAGCAGCTGCAACGCGACATGAACATCTACGCTCTGTGAGCCCCTGCTTCTGCTTCTTGCTGCTGCTGCTTCCTCTGCTGCTGCTGCTGCTGCTGCTGCTGCTGCTGCTGCTGCTTGGCATGTCTGACGTGTGCTCGAAGGTGGCTACACACGGCTCAAGACGTCTTAGGCTCCATCATCGTCCTCGTGTGCGGTCTCATCGTCAAGTGAGTGGCGGAGGCAAGCTCGTGACGTCACCATCTCATACGCTCACAGGTTTGGCTCCTTCCCGGGCTCGCGGCATGCAGACTCAGTCGGCGGCCTCGTCATCTGCTCCCTCGTGTGGCTCACTACCGTCCCGGTGTGGGTCGACGGGCTGCGGGAGCTCACGCGGAGGCACTACCTTCCCTTCTCCCACGACGGCGGGCTGGTGAAGCGATACGACGCTGCTATGGGGTAGGGCTCCTTAACGCTCCACGAGCGACTCGAGATGCAAGATTTTTTCCCTGCCATGGCAGGCAGGAGGGCAAGACATGAGGAGGTTCATTCCTAGGGAAGTAGCGGGGTTAAGTTGGGAGTACAGGAGGAGGGCTGGATTGCGCGTTCTTTCACGTGGTGAAGAATCCTCCTAGAGAGTTGCGAGCGTACCTGAGGATCGATCAGAACTGAGGACGCGAGCACGGCCGGAGCCCCACCCGTTGTTGGTCTGGGGAGAGTGAGGGGTGATCATCGGCTCGCACAGGGGCCTTCCTGAATGCCCGTGAGTTGTAGACTTGGGCAGCTGGACGGAGGAAGCAAGGATCCCCTCCACCATCGGATCCTGTCCATCACCATGTCAACTCACGCTCGCAGACGCGCCTCCTACCAGCTCCTGCTGTAGCGTCCTGATGGCGTAAGGAGGGTCGAGGGGGCTGAGCCTCTTGGAGGGAGGAGGCTGCGGGAAGGTTGAGGAGGAGGGAGGAGAGACGGAATCTCACCATGTACTTCATCTTCGTCATTTTCTCTCGCTCGTCTGCCTGCGTCTACAAGATCCCCGTGAGTTTGTTGGAATGGGAGGAAAAACTTCAGATCTCCTCCCTTTCCTGCCCGCCATGTTGAGGCGACTCTACTTCCGCTCCATGCCTCTACGCCCTCTCCTCCTCCTCCTCCTCCTCCCCCCCCCCCCTTTCCCCCTCTCTCTCCCCCTCCTCCTCCTCCTGCCCCCGCCGTCCCTTCTCGCATGTGCCCCCTTTTGTGCCATGCGGTTCGCTCAGACAGTCTCACGGACCTACTGGGTATCCCACAGTTTAACCGCTGACCTTTTCGCAATGCACGAAGAGGGAAGGGAGGGAGGGGAAAACCGAGCGGAGGAGGGGGATACGCAGAGGAGGGGCCAGGAGAGGAGGTAGGGGCATACCAAGAAGCAGCAGGAGAAGCAGGGCAGGGGCAGGGGCAGGGGCAGAGGCAGGGGCAGGGGCAGAGGGAGTTGGTAGATAGAAGGAGTTGGTAGATAGATTGACCACAAGAGGTAAAGGTCTTGAGTGGAGGGCTGGCAAGAATTTGCAATCAAATTGGAGTTGAAGGAAGCAAGGACATGGTTGAAGTTATTCCTGGGAAGGAAGGAAGGAATGGAGGAAGAAAAGGAGGATTGAAGCGAGCGAGCGATGCAGGGAGGGAGGGAGGGGAGGGAGGGAGGGAGGGAGGGAGGGAGGGAGGGAGGG